GCAGCACAATTCCACAGACATGGGAACTCCTGGCTCGGCCCCTCTGTTGTGTCGAGCCAGGTTCTCACAATGACTCTTGGCCTAGATGGGCAGGCTGGTCTGGGAAACCAGAGGGTGGCAGAGCTCTCTGGGGAAGAGGGTGCCCTGGGGCTTTGGGGAGGTGCTCCAGGCTTCTGATTGCCTCCTAAGCCTGCAATCCCGCCTGCTGGCCTATTCCTAGCACCCATGTTAGTCCTGCCTCTGGCAGCAAAGTCTTCCAACCCACTGTCCCTGTAAGTACAGTCCTGGGCGCTAGGAGACTTCCCTCTACACACACAGAAGGGTGAGGCTTTGTGGGGCAAGGTGAAGGGCCTTGCAGAGAAGGAAGGGCAGGGAAACAGGCCTGTGCCAGGAGGAAAGGAGAAGTCCAGTCCTGTGAGGACCCTGGAGGTCTGGAGATCACAACTTGTTGCTTGACTCTGAAACTTTCTGGACCTCAGACTTCCCACCTGTGGCTTAGGGAGGACCCTGACTGCCTGCTTTCCCAACAGGCTGGCAGGAGCCTAGGAAAAGATTCTAGGCAGCATGATTAGAGAAAGACTTGACATCTCTCCAAGCAAAGCAATGGAAATGTCCCAGACAAGGCAGAGAGAAGATTCGAAGACACAGTCTGGCTTGGGGGTTGGAGGAGGGGGTGAGAGAGTTTTTTTTCCTAGAACTGGACTCCAGAAGTCTTTCTTAGAGCCACAGCCACACAAGGAATCCAGAACAATTGTACTCTTGAGGGTATTCATCAAATGCACTTTTCTTATTTGTTCCTGTCACCTAATGGGGGACAAGAACTCTTTTGCTGCACCAATGAAAGCATAAATTAGTGGGTCCAGGTTGAAGAAGAAACAGGATTTATATACAGCCTCTAGGCTATATATAGGTATCTTCCTCAAAAGGTATTTATTATGGAAAACCAGAAACTTTAGGGTAGAGAATTCTCCACCTTACTCCAGTGAACAAGGTCGGTATCACCAGCAATAAGACACATGTCAATATTCCTGAATAAGATACATGAAGACACAGCATCATTTCTGTTGGTTTCTTGCTAAAATGCATGGCAGTGTCATTATGAGAAAACAACAGGGAAACCCAAACTGAGGGATGTACTACAAGGTGATTCACTAGTACTGTTTAAAAGTGTCAAGGTCATGCAAGAAAAAGAAAGATGAAGCCCAGCTGTGAGAGACTGCAAGAGACTAAGGAGATGCACCAACCAAATGCAGTGTGGGTCCTGCAACAGAAAGGGAACATTAGTGGAAAACCTGGCAAAATTACAGTAAAGCCTACAGTTAATTAATGATGTTATATCATTGTTAATTTATTGGTTTTGAAAATTGTACAAATCTTATGTGATATGTTCATTTTAGGAAAAGCTGGGTAGGGTGTAGATGAATTCTGTATTCTATTTTTGCATTTTTTTCCCCTTTTTATGCAGCTTTTATTCTGGGAGTCTAAAATTGTTTCAGGATAAAAAAATAAAAGTGCTTTATCCTAGAACAGCTAGCTATTTGTGGAGGAGCCAGAGAAAATGGGTGGTGGGAAGTTTGGGTCTAGTATTGAGAATTCTGTGCCTCCCTGCTATCTAGCACCCCAAAGCAGCTTCTGGAAGCTTCCCAGATCAGCCCTGCCTACATCTTATCACAACCATCTCCACCAAGTTTTTACTTCCTTCTCTGCAATCTGGATCATACCCAGTCTATTATATGGTGGAGTGGTTTGAATACTGTCCTCCCAAATTCAAGTTTATCTGGAATCTTAGATTGTGACCTTACTGTCTTCGCAGATATAATTAAAGGAAGAACCAAGATGAGATCACATTGGATTAAAGTGGTTACTAAATCCAATGAGTGCAGTTGTAAGAGACAGAAGAGGACACCCAAAACACACAGAGGGGGCCCAGGTATAGACAGAGGTAGAGATGGGGGTTCTGCTGTCACAAACTCAGGGACTTGAGGCATCACTAGAAGCTGCCAAAGTCCAGGAAGGATCCTCCCCTGGAGTGTTAGAGGGAGTGTGGTCTGGCCAATATTCCAGAACTGGGAGAATAGATTTCTGTTGTTTTAAGCACTGAACGTGTGCTAATTCGGTACTGCAGCTCTGGAAGACATAGCTATGGTATGGACTTTTTCATTAGTCTCTATCTTAGCTTTGAGGTTGTTACTAAGTCTCTTCTAGACTGTGGGCTCTGAAGGCAAGGACCGGGTCTTCCTCCTCAGCCTAGGTTCCTCCTTCCTTGGGATGCCACCCCCTGGTGCCCAACCCAGGCCTCAGCACACAGTTTGGCTATGTGGGGGCTGTCTGGCTCTACCTTCACCTGTTTGGATTGGCATGGGTCTCCCAGCCTCAGGGTGGTGCAGGGAGACTCACTAACCACAGAGGTACCGCCCCAGTCTCCTCCTTTACCCCCTCCTTCCTGGACAGGATGGAGGGAGGGACAGATATGGAGCCCACACAAGGCCTGTCTAGAAGTCCAGAAGTGGGGGTATTCCAGGCCCCAGCAGACAGAACTGCCTATATGATCCTCACCCCAACCCATTAACCCCTGTGCCCCAGAAAGCTGCTTCTTAAAATGTCTTGAGCACCAGGGTGTGGATGGGAGTCCTGCCTGACTGGGCTCTGGGAAACTCCTATGTCACCAAGTCCATGTCATAGAATACACTGGCCTCAGTGTATTCTATCTGGGGGTCTCGAGACCAGGGTGGGGAGTGCCGGGAAAGTCTCCTCTTAGATTCTGTGCATGAGTTCACCTGTCATTGGTTCCCTACTGTCTTTATCTCTTGGCTTCTCCTTGGAGGAGGAGGAAAGGGAGGAGCAGAGGGAAGAGGAACAGAGAGCAGGGGAAGGGAGCCTTTTTTGAGTTTCACTGAATCTGATGGGGTGGGGAGAGTCAGAGTCTTTTTTGGTCCTGGGATCCAGGGCTTCTCTTCTGGTTGCAGAGGGGAAGATGGGGCAGTGGGTCACTGAGGAGGCTGGCATTGGCTCTGCATCCTGCTTTTGTCCCCGAATCTATCAGGATGCTGTGTTTTTCTCTGGTGAGGACACCCCCTACCTCCTACCCCAGCTAACAGCAACAGGCCTCCCAACAAAAGCATCTGTCCCTCAGTCAAAAGCCCTGCTGCCTCTCATTGGGGCAGTTGCAGGGCTGGGCCAGGGTGGGGGGGACTTTTCTCTAGAAGGAGATCAGGAGCTTCTGTCAGGGGTGGGTGGAGTGGGGTGGGGCCCTGGCTTACTCACATCCTTGCGAATCCTTGGCAAGGCAGATTTGGGGAGCCCTCAACCTCAAGTGTCTGTCTCAACATTGTCTTCTGAGCTCCTAAGTCCCATTGGGCGGCTGACTTATATTTGGTGACAGTCAGGGTGGAGTGAGGTAGCGAGTGGCTCTGTTTCCCTTCTGGAAGCAGTTGATCCTAGGAAGAGCACTGAAGCCTCCAGCCAAGGCTGTCAGGGCCTGTCTGGGATGATAGGACATGTCAGGCAGCCCCAGACACGACCACATTCCTCCCAACGTGCCTGCCGGGGTCTATGAGGCTGAGGGGTAGGCAGGAGGGTGGGTGGGGGCCAGAAAGGGTTGCTTTTGGAAGTTATCAGGGAAAGCTGAGGTCTTGATATATAAATCCTCAAGGCATAATCAGTTGGACTCCTGGAAATGTCCTCTGACCCTTGGTGCCTCAGGAGTCAGGGACCCTCATGTCCACTCAGGCCACACCCTTGGCACAGCTCTGCTGTACTCTCAGGTGCCTGCATTCCTCCCTGACACAATTCTTGGGTCTGTTCCACAGGGGATCAAATGAGAGTGCTTGCCAGCCCCCTGCTTCCCACAAGGGCTGCCCTGGGGGTCTGAGAAGATGCCTGGGGCTGGAAGCAAAAAGTCTTTCTCCAGGCCTGTTCAAGAGATGCTGCCTCACCCCTTTTGGGATGTGTCAGCATTTGGGAGCCAAGATAGGCTACAACACTGCCAGCTAGACTTGAAGCCCTATTTGGTCTACAAAGCCCTTCAACATATGCAGTCAGTCACATTGGATTCTCAGAGCTGACTGCAGTAGGAGAAGTGGGTGTTATTTACTCCCACTTTGCAGATGAGTAGACCGAGGCTCAGAGAAATGTCAAGTACTGGGTCACACAGGTGTAAGTGACAGCTCCAGGACTCACCTGAGTCCTGGACACATTGACTCTTTCCCAATGTCTCTGGCTGTGCTTGTGAGGCCACCTGCCCTTGGCGACTGAACAGCCAGTGACATGGGTCTGTCTACAGGTGTATGGCAGATGTGAGATCCTCTCCTTAGGGAGGATGCCAGGGTCTGTGCTCAGGGCTGGAAGAGCTGCCTGAATTTCTGTAAGCGGGGGTGTCTGGAGTCTGAGCTGCCTGACTGGTTGATGATGGCCATCCCAGCTTGGGAGACTGGAAGGGCCTCCAAGACATTCTTTTTTCCCTTAGTAGGTGGCAGTGCTTAGAAGCTATATCTGTGCTCTAGGTGATCGGTCATGCTAGTGTATCAGCCAGGTAACCTGCCGTGGCGAGTGTCCTCCATGTGGATGTGAAGGACCCAGCCAGTTAGTGGGGAGTTAACAGGTCACCAAGTTTATGGTGCAGAGAGGCTCTGCTCTCTATCACCCTGGTTGAGTCCTGCACACGGGTTCCTGAGGGCTGCAGCTCCCAGGGCCCCTGGGAAAGTGTAGCCTGCAGGTCCACACCTTCTCCGGTGAATCACGCCTGGCGGGACGAGAAAGCCAAAAAACACCCCAAACAATGACTTTCCAGTAAAATATGACAGACGTGATGAGGCGGGAGGAGAGGAGGGATCTGGCTGGGAGTTGGCACTAACCTGTGGGTGATGAAAGCCAAGGGGAATGGAAAATGCCAGGCCCGCCCCTACTCATGAGTATAAAAGCACTGGCATCCTTTTCCAACCCACCTGAGCACCTTTCTCTTCTCTCTGCCGACTTGCTCACTCACCTCCCTCCTCAGCACCATGACCACCTGCAGCCGCCAGTTCACCTCCTCCAGCTCCATGAAGGGCTCCTGTGGCATTGGTGGTGGCTCCAGCCGCATCTCCTCTGTCCTGGCTGGAGGATCCTGCCGGGCCCCCAGCACCTATGGGGGCCTGTCGGTCACCTCCTCTCGCTTCTCCTCTGGGGGTGCCTGTGGAATGGGGGGTGGCTATGGTGGTGGCTTCAGCAGCAGCAGCAGCTTCAGAACTGGGGCCCTAGGTAGTGGTTTTGGTGGAGGATTTGGTGGTGGCTTTGATTCTGGTTTTGGTGGTGGCTTTGGTGGTGGATTTGGTGGTGGCTTGGGTAGTGGCTTTGGTGGTGGTGATGGGCTCCTGGTGGGCAGTGAGAAGGTGACCATGCAGAACCTCAATGACCGCCTGGCCTCCTACCTGGACAAGGTGCGTGCCCTGGAGGAGGCCAACACCGACCTGGAGGTGAAGATCCGAGACTGGTACCAGAGGCAGCAGCCTGCTGAGATCAAAGACTACAGTCCCTACTTCAGGACCATTGAGGAGCTGAAGAGCAAGGTGGGTGGACTGGGCAGCGGGACCTGCCATTCCAGCTACCTCCTTCTGGGAACAATAGATGCTCAGGCCACAGGCACCTTTAGATTTCCAGACAGGACAGAGTCCAACTCCTGATCCCTTCTTCGGAGATCCTGGACACCCCATGCTGAGCCGGTCAGGGAGAAGACAGTCTTCCCTCTTGTCTTCCCTCTTGTTCACGCTTCTCTGGGCTCCAGTCCTTAGACCATGTGAGATTAGTAATTCCTACCTTTACATTTTGCAGAGAAAGAGGTTGAAGTTTTGAGAGGTGCTGTTCCCTGCTGAAGGTCACAGAGCAAAGTAAAGGCAGAGCTGATCCTAAACCCCTCATGCTCTACCTTCTAGAACAAGAGGCGATTACCTGTTCTCCAGCACGGGGGAGGAGCGAGGCTGTAACGGGACCAGGCTAGACACCCAAACCGCTCATTAGCTCATTAGTCTGGGCTGTGGCTGCCGCCGCCCATGAACCTTAGCACTGGCTGGCCTCTCCCTACAGCCAGGCAAGCATAGAAAACCCACAACCACAATGAGTTGTGACCCACCTATGTGTCCTGAACAAGAGGGAGCCTTGTGGGCTTGTGCCATCTGCCAACAGTGCCCTTTGTCCTGCTTCTGTGTCACCTCGGGAACCTTTCTGCTGAACCTGTTTCGCTTTGATGCCTCGCATAGATTAGGGAAATTAGACAAACATGGCTTCCATCTATTTCTTTTTTTCCCCTGCTTCCTTTCCTTCTAATCCTCTGTGAGGGCTGGGTCTCATCTTTTGGGAAATCTCATCTGAGGTCCCATGCCCTGCAGGCTTGAAAAGGTATGTGTGTGCCTACAGGGGGCTGGCTTATGGCGAGAGAGGAAAATCCAGCATATATGAATGGGCTCAAAGAAGCCCCAGGTCATTCCCTTCATCTGTGGTGGGGAACTTGAAGCCCAGAGATCCATCTCAAGTTTTGCAGCAAGCCAGTGACAGTACTGGAACGAGACCACCAGGGCTTTTGATTGTAGGGTCAGATCTCTTTCTGTCCCTTCAGCTGACCATGAATCAGCACCCACATTACTGCGTCAAGGCTGGGCCACTTGGGGTTATCTTTTAGGCTGCTGTGGTGAAGGCTTGTGGGGGGAGGCTGCTCTCCAGCAGCTGGAGAGCCAAGATCTATGCAGGCTGCAGTGGTGTCTAGCTATTGATGTCCATTGGACCAATGACCTGTGCCCTTTCCATTCTGCAGATCCTCACAGCCACCGTGGACAATGCCAATGTCGTCCTGCAGATTGACAATGCCCGCCTGGCTGCTGATGACTTCCGCACCAAGTGAGTTTGCAGTGGTGGCTCAGAACATCCAGCCTCCCCAGGGTGGGGCATTTTTGGAACAGTTACCCAAACAGAGCTGACTAGTGCCAGGAAAACCCCTTGAGGTGCTTGTAAAAATATAATACTCTTGAGCTCCACCCTTGGAGTTTTGATTCAGTTATTTGTGGTGATTCTGATCCACAGCCAGGTTCGGAAACTATCACTTTACAGAGAGGTCCTCCCTACTCCCCCACCTGCCCTGAAGTGCAGTAGTTAGTCATAGTTGGAGGCCTTGAATCTTATTGGCTGGCTGAAGCTGGAAGTGCCAGTGAATTCTGCAGCATGATGAGCTGCTTGACATCCAGATCTGAGCAATCAATGGGCACTGTGTCCAAGATTGGTGCCCAAACCACCCACTACATGCTAGCTCTGGGAAGAAGCTGCAGGGGAAGAGAACAAAGGTTTCAGTGTGGCCAGGATGGGTAGCTGATTCCTTTTCTCTTGGGTCATTCCAGGTATGAGACAGAGCTGAACCTGCGCATGAGTGTGGAGGCTGACATCAACGGCCTGCGCAGGGTGCTGGACGAGCTGACCCTGGCCAGAGCTGACCTGGAGATGCAGATTGAAAGTCTCAAGGAGGAGCTGGCCTACCTGAAGAAGAACCATGAGGAGGTGAGAGCTAAATGCAAAAAGCCAGCTTCAAAGAATGGCCTGCAAAGAAGAGATGCAACTGAAATGGTGGCAGGGCAGTATTCAGGCCAGGACTGCCTCTGACGAGGAAGCACTAGTCAGTTACCACCATGAGGCTCCTGACTGTGGGCTCTTCTTTGATTATGCAGGAGATGAGTTCCCTGAGAGGCCAGGTGGGAGGAGACGTCAATGTGGAGATGGACGCTGCCCCTGGTGTGGACTTGAGCCGCATCCTGAATGAGATGCGAGACCAGTATGAGAAGATGGCAGAGAAGAACCGCAAGGATGCTGAGGACTGGTTCTTCAGCAAGGTGAGTGTCATTTGGAGAGGTAGGGATCCAGGCCACCTGCCTTCTGGGACTTCCTGGTGTGAATGGTGCTCTCTTTTCTGCAGACAGAGGAGCTAAACCGCGAGGTGGCCACCAATAGCGAGCTGGTGCAGAGTGGCAAGAGTGAGATCTCTGAGCTCCGTCGTTCTGTGCAGAACCTGGAGATCGAGCTGCAGTCCCAGCTCAGCATGGTAAGACCCCTGTTGTACATAGGGGTGGGCTCAGGATTAACAGAGAAGAAATGACGGTCCTCAGTGACTACTGATCTTCTTTCTTCCCTCACAGAAAGCATCCTTGGAGAACAGCCTGGAGGAGACCAAAGGCCGCTATTGCATGCAGTTGGCCCAGATCCAGGAAATGATTGGCAGTGTGGAGGAGCAGCTGGCACAGCTACGCTGTGAGATGGAGCAGCAGAACCAGGAGTACAAGATCCTGCTAGATGTGAAGACCCGGCTGGAGCAGGAGATCGCCACCTACCGTCGCCTGCTGGAGGGCGAGGACGCCCAGTGAGTGCCTGGCCTTTCCCCTAGTCCATGCCTGTACTGTTCACTCACTGTTTCCCCATTTGTCTAATGGTCCATGCACTTTTCTGTCTTTACAGCCTCTCCTCCTCCTCCCAGTTTTCTTCTGGTTCTCAGTCATCCAGAGATGGTAAGAATCTTCCTCATCAAGCCTTGTCTTGTAGCCACCACCCCAGGTTCCTTATCAGGTCTAGGGCATAGATTAGGAGTTTCTCAAGAGTTTGAGCTATAGAATTCTTACCCAGTATCCCTTATGAAGTACTTTGGGTAGAAGAAGCCACTTTTAACCTTCCTTTAGGCTAAGAGTGTTGACTCTTACATTGCACTTCTCCTACCTGGAGCCTGGGTAGACCCCATGGTAATGACAGTCAGCACCACGGACAGCACCCCACATGGTTCTTCCAGCCAACACCAGTCCATTTGGGCCTATTTGGACTGAACTAGTTGGGTATGATTCTTAGGAGATTCCAGTCTGAGGACATAGACTCTGTCCATGACCTGAAGGAGCCCTAGTCTGAAATGTGCTGATGGCATCAGTACTTAAACAACAGCAGTGAGTAAAGTGATAATCTGGGGAGAAGGCAACAGGGAGACAGTTCATTGTACTCTCCTCAACTTCTTGGCTTCTCTATTCCTGATGACTCTATTGCCTGTCCACTTCTGGTAATGTCTTCTTTTCTATCTTCCCTAGTGACCTCCTCCAGCCGCCAGGTCCGCACCAAGGTCGTGGATGTGCACGATGGCAAGGTGGTGTCCACTCATGAGCAGGTCCTTCGCACCAAGAACTAAAGCTGATCAGTGCTGCTCAGGCTTAGGAGGCCCCTGTGTGGACACAGATCTCACTGGAAGAGCCCCACCCCACCCCCAAACACTTCACATGCTACTTTATCCTTACCCCTCCTGGCAATCAATAAAGCGTCTTTATCTGAGTTGCACAATTCCTGTCTCTGCCTGGTCATTGTCAGAAATGAGGTGGGAAGAAGGCAGGGGAAGCATTCATAGCACCTGGCTGTGGCCTCTGGGACTGGGAGAAAGGGCCTGGGGGAGGTCTGGGCTCAGGTCCCAGAATGGCTCTGAAGATACAGTACCTGTGTGTTCTAGGTTATATGTGGTATCTCAAAGGGCACGGAGGGACAGTCACCCATTCATTCATTTGTTCATGTATTTATCAGATATTGAGTGCCTTTAGGTGCCAGGCACTGTGCTAGGTTAAGGATTACTACCATTTTTGATCAGAGATTCATTTCAGAATATATTGGAACCTATAGATCTCCTTATACTCCATTTCCAAATAAACACACACATTTGCATACAATTTTAAGGGGTTCATGGGTCCCTCTAAAACTCCTCAGTGCAGGTCCATGAACCCAAGGAGTCTTGTCTCTGTGAGCTGGCACTAATCATCCAGAGCTAGGTCTAAATCTGCTTACCTTTAGTTGACCTAGGGCAAGTTGATTTTCATCACCATGCTTCAGATTCTACCTCTGTAAAATGGGATGATATCACCTACTTAGAGGGCTTCTGAGAACTCACTATAAGACCTCTAGTACAGTGCTCAGCCTAGGGCAGGCTCAAGACACCATGCTACTGGGTGATTATTCATGATGGGGACGCTTTTAGAGGCTTTGGGAATAGGTTGAATGGTTTCTAATCCTGGCTCTAAACGTCTAGTTCTTTTTCTTTACTTGTATGATAAAGATGATGAACCCTTCTTCTTGGGGTTGATACCAGAATCCAGTGAGTAAATGCACCTAAAGCGATAGTGTTGTAGGAAAGTACCCTGGATGGAAGAGTGTCTTTAGTTGTCTTCTGGGGGCTGGACAAGGAGTAGGAAGGGGAGGAGCTTCACCTGGGTGAGTGTGAAGATTCTAGGGGTGGGTGGGACTTCCTGCTCCAGGCTAGGAAAATTTGACTAGTCCTGTGTCAGCTTCAAAAGTTCATTCATGTGGCAGTGTGAAGGAAACTTCTAGGGAGAGTCAAGGTGGGGTAGGACTGAAGAAAGACTTAATTTGGACAAGGGAGCTAAATCTAGGCTTTGGAATCAGACTTGTTGCACGGGAGTTCAGGCTTCTGTGCTGACTTAGCCTTGGAGAATTTGGGTAAGATTCTAAAACCACATTCCTCTTTTACAAAATCAGGAATGAACACCTTCACCCCACAAGGCTGATGAAGGATTAAATGGCTGCATGGAAGCAACAAGTTTAGCATTGTTTGACACATTTTCAGTATTCTATACATGGCAGCATAAGAGGGCAAGTTATTAGCAAAAGGAATGACATCATTTTGTTTTCTCTTGTCTCTACATACATCCTAGGAAAGAGAGGACTGAATTATGTCCTGAAACTCTGGGATGTCCTTTCACCTGAGTTTTGACATCCAGAAGGGTTGAGCTGGAGTGATCACTTGGTGAGGGTGGGCGCTGAAGGACTAGAGTTCTGGAGGTAAAAGGGACAACTCTGGTAGAAGAAAAGTTTGTTGATTGCTTCCTCAGAGACTGGATAGGTTTTTCAAGCTCTAGTGCGTTAGGATCCTAATGGAGAGGGGCTCCACTCTATTCCTAGCAATATTCCTAGGAATATTCTCTATTCCTAGCTGGATCCTGGGAAACTGGGCTTCCAGCTAGGCAATGAGCCTCCTGCTCAGGTGTGACATGGAATCCGAGGAGTGGTTCCATTTGAGGATTGCATGGGCCTGGACAGAGAGCAAAATATAGCAATAGTCACCAGTGAAGACTGCATAAGAATCCCAAGTCATACTTGGCCTTGGAAGTGGTATCACATTATAGTTTCTACCTCCGAAGGAGGTCTGCTTTAGAGAAATATAGAAATGTGAGATTTCACAGACTTGGGTGTGGTGAATGAGCATCTTCTCCGCCTGAGAGTTTGCTCTTGTTATTGGGAAATATAGGGAAAGGTGGGCTTGCTTGAGGGTAAAGATGGCACCTCAGGCCACCTGACTGGAATCAGGCTCAGAGTTGGAGGGGAGGAACTCAAGCAGTGGGCTTGGAGGTGATCCCACCCTATACTCTCAGACCCTAGAGAAAAAGGGCAGATATGGCAGCCACCACAGCATCCCACATGGAGACTGGATCCCTGTATCTCCACCGCCATACCTAGTGGGAAGAGCCAACATCTGAATCTGGCTGATGGACAGTGCTCTTGTTTACAGGGCCTGGAGGCCACACCACCAGACTGGAGACCTGTGCCTGCCCCTTCCCTCTAAACAACAGACCAGAAAAGTGACTCGATAGCACTGTCTAGTGGAGGGTAGGAGGAATTGACTCTCAGAATCCTGGGACAGGTCAGATAACTCCATGTAAATTGGAAGGAGTGGCTTTTTTCACCTTCTCAGAATGCAGAATGGGGCAGTGCTAGATGGGCCATTGAAGACCACTCCTCCAACTTCCCCATTTTAGGGAGACTGGCTTGCCCCAGACTGAAAGTGGCCAAGTCCAGCCTGGAGGTTCCTTGAAGAGAGGAATCATGATCTTCCCATCTTTCTGTGTTCTCAGCAGCCCCAGGAAGGGCACAGGTCCTTGATCTTAATTAGGGCCCTACAGACTAGAGGGATGGACTAATATAAGCAAGAGAACTGAGAACCCAAGTCATCCAGATGGTTCCAAGGAAAAGTCAGGGAGCAGATGAAGTACCCTCGATAGTCAGGAAATGTCTCTGTGTGCCGTCACCTCACCATAAGACTTATAGTACAGCCCTTTTAAGCCCCACCACAACCTCATGAAGTTGGAACCATATTCTCTTCCAAAATCCTTTACTTGATCTAACCCACTGCTCTGTAGCCATGTTGAATTTCCGCACTTGCAGTCACATTGCTCATTCCCACATCAGGAAGTTTGCACAGGCTTTTTGTCCCTCTCAGGATACGCTTCCTCTCTTCCTTCTTCTGGATCACTCCCACTCATACTTCATTCAGGTGTCACTCAGGGAGATGTTCATGATCCCCAAACCATGTCACACACCTTAATATATGCTTCCCAATTCACCACCAATAGCATTCACCTCAGTTTGGAGTTATACATTTATTTTTTTCTGGGGGAGGGGGTCCATTTTATCTTGTAACTGGCCAACAAGGTAGGGCCTTGCTCATCACTGTATCCTCAGCTCTCAGTACAGTGCTGGCCTTCAGTAGATGCTCAATAAAAGAATCATGCAAATTTACAGCCAGGAAGCAGCTGCAGAGAGTGAGGAAGAACCTTTCTCCAAACAAGTGGGAGAATCTGGCTGTAAACTCTGCCACCTTGGTCTGGTGGGGTCTGGCTACATGGGGTGGTGGAAAGTGACTACTATATGAGAAAGAATCAGCGTTGACAGGTACCTCCAGCCCTGGCCAGCAGGCAGTGAGCACTTGCCTAGATGGCTCATGGAGGGGCGGGCCCATGTACCAGGTGAGGAGTCGTGACTCAACGCCTGCCATGAACTCCCTCTCCCCACATGATGACTCAGGGCCTCCCTGAGCCCTGCCTGGGACTCAGTGACAGAAGGTAATGGGGAGCAAGTGAGGTGTGTGTGTGTGTGTGTGTGTGTGTGGAAAGCTGGACACAGGCAAGCAGGAGGGCTTCCAAGGCCAGAGGACTGTCCTTGTCCTTCCCTCAAGGCCCATGTCCTCAGTGGAGGATCTTTTCCACGATGGGGACATTTTGCAGGTGGAATCTCTGTTTGGTTCCTTCTCTGGCTCTTTGTTTGTCTCTCTGGGTCCTTGAAGTCTCTACTCTCCTACTCCATCCATTCTCGGAGGGCAAGAACTGTATTTCAAGCACTCACACTGTGGTCCTGGGCTGCAGCTGGAACTCAGGTGCCAGGGTGCCACGAGCTACATGGGCTCCATTCTTTGTTCACTCTTTGGAGAGCTCCCTCAGGAGGTGTAGGAAGTGGGGCTCCAAGGGCTGACCCTGAATGCTGAACGAATAGAAGAGTGAGTCATGTTACATGGCTGAGAAGATAGGCCAGGGCTCTCAGCCTCCTCATTCTGCTTCCACCTTGCCCAGCCTGGCTTCCCATGCAAGGCAGGGAGCGTGGGAGAAGAGAGAAGAGGTTGTTCAGGTGCAATTGGAGTAAGACCTCCTATCTGGACCATAGGACTCACTCAGTCCCACCAACTCCTCTTTGGATTGGAAGCAAAGCCTGATGTGAAAAAGACTGACAGGTGTGGAAAGGAGGGAGAACGGGGGAGGAGAGTGACTGTGGGAGAATGCCTACACATGGGTGGTAGCGGACATTCATCCAGAGGCCCCTCCATCTCTCCCGCACTGTATCTATGCCACATGCAGAGGCTTCCTATGAGGAAACTGTGGTCAAGGCCAGAAGTGTAAGGAGGGTGGCAGGTAGCAGAATCCTGTCTGTGGAATGGTGCTCTGTCCAGTGCACTTCGTCCAGAGGCCAGTGGAGAAGACTGGAAGGTGTGGGCTGTCATGGAGAGATGGCCCAGATGTGGAAGAAAGACCTATGTCTCATTTGTACTCAGAGAGGGGAATTTTATCATACATATTCATATCACATTCATTACAGGAGAGCCAGACTTGACAGTCCACCTAGTGCAAAAGACCGTCAAGTCCTCCCTGCCTGGCCCTTGGTGATGAGAGTGTGGAGGAAGGCCAGTGGGCAGTGTCCCCACAGGTGGGTCACCTTCCTGGGAAGCTGGGATGGGATTCTGAGGGCAGAATCTGCTGCTCTGGCTGAGTGAGGCTTTGGCCAGGACTAGAGGGTGGGAAGTAGAGGAGGTGGGTCAGGGTAGGGGTTGGTGGGTTTGGCACCAGGGCTAGCAATGGGCCATCTCTCCTGAGTCACCTGGACAAGGTACCCCATCTTGGAGCTCCTGGTCAGTTAGGCAGGATCCCTGAACAGAATGCATTTGCTGAGAACAGGACAGGGTTGCAGAAGTGTCCTTCTGCTGTCAGTCCCTGAAGCTGCCCACCCCAGCTCTGTCCAACCTCTCCTCCAACTAGCTCAGGCACTGGGACCTGGGGTGGTTTCATGTGGGGATGGTGAAGTAGGTAGAAAAGACAACAGAAGTGGGCCTGGGCCTGGACCAGGCTTCCTGGGCCTCAGACCACATTGCAGACTGATCTTGGACTTCTCACTAAAACCTGGTGGGAATGTGGGGAGAGGTTAGAACAATCAGGAAACCAGGAAGGCAATCAACACACTCTCCCTAGTCTTGGATTAAGAGTTTCCCATGTGTTAGTCTTTCACAAAATGCCTTCAATATTCTCCATTCAACTTACTTAATTTTTAAATTAAGTAGTACAAAATACTACTTATTTAAATATTTATTTAACATATTTTGGTAAACTAGCTCACCTTTCATTTCTTTTTTTTTCATTTTCATTTCAACAAATACATTTATAGAGGAAATTGCATATTACTATTAAAAAATCAGAATCATTTGTCAGAAATATAAGGAAATGATGTCAACACTAGATGCTGTTTCTTCCTATAGGTTCTGAGCTCAAGGCTGGTTCTGGTTTATTTGAACAGAGTGTGGAGGTGTGCTAAAGAGGCTGTAGTGCTGAGATTTTTTTTTCTTTGATAATCAGAAAATTGAAAAATAGAAAGGAAATACTTCTTCCTATTACATGATCAAGTATTTTTTTTTTCAGTACTGGGGTTTGAACTCAGGGCCTTATACTTGCTACGCAGGCAGTCTACCAGTTGAGTCACACTTCCAGCTCACTTTTTTTGAGATAAGTTCTCACTATATGGTCCAGGTTGGCCTCCTCTTGCTTCAGCCTCCCAAGGTGCTGGAATTACAAGTGTGAACCATCATGCCTGATGGTTCAGAATTATATTATTATTTTTCGGTGGTACTGGGTTTGAACTTAGGGCTTTACGCTTAGTAGGTAGGTACTCTACCACTTGAGTCACATCTTCAGTCCTTTCTGCTCGGGTTAGTTTGGAGATAGGGTCTTGCTTTTTGCCCAGGCTGGCCTGGATCGTGATTCTCCTATTTTTCACTTCCTGCTGTAGCTGGGATGACAAGCACATGCCACCAGGTTTAGCTTTTTCCTGTTGAAATGAGGGTTTTGCAAACTTTTAGGTCTGGGCTGGCCTTGAACTATTATCCTCCCAATGTCAGCTTCCCAAGTAGGTAGGATTACAGGTGTGAACCACTGGCACCTGGCTAGTACTGTGTCATTGAGCACAGTCTCCATGTATCACACAGAAGTACTTCCAGAAATGTGGTCCTTTACGACACCTACCATTCACAGGCCCTCCCTAGCCCTTTTCTGACCTTCTGACCTCTTTTTCTCCCTTTGATGGTGCTACTGGGTTTGAACACAGGGCCTTATGTTTGCTAGGCAAGTGCTCTACCATTTGAGTTATGCCTCCAGCCCCTCTCTCTTCTTATTTTCAGCTCTCAGTATCTGTCTGAAATACTAGTTATCTTTCCTTCCCATATGCACTGGGATCCTACTTGGACCAGACATGGTACCTGGCACTAGGGCAAGTGCAAGATGAGCAGTGCAGGTTTAAAGAAGTCCTTACTGTCCCCAGACTTGGAGTGGAGGGAGCCACATGGAGACATATGTGAGAGATCTTAACACGGCAAAGTCTGAACCCAGAGGAAGAGAGCTGGGGAAGCCTTCAAGGAGGAGAGGGACAGAGGAGGTTGTCAAAGAGGAGTAGGAGGTTTTTTTTTGTCTAGAGAAGATATAGAGGGACATTTCAGTTTGAGGAAACTGCAAGAAGTATAAAGGGAATTTGGGATGCATCGTAAGATTTGGTAGGTGGTCTGGGAAATGGGAGAAACAGGGCAGGATTGGATGGATTGGGAATCGGCCTCAAATGCTAGGAATGTGGACCTTATTTGGGGGTGAAGGGAAGTCACAGGAGTAGTGTGGTCAGACCTGGGTTAGAAGAGTCAGGGGGCAGGAAGAGCAGTTAGAAGCTGATGGCTAAAGGCCAGGGAAGGACAGAGATATGAGGGACTTTGGGACTTGAATCAGAGGCAGCTCATATTTCTTAAACTTTTCTCATGCATTCCTTCCTGGGAGATGGGCAGATTATTGTCATCATTTTGTAGAGGAGGGAACCAAGTGAGAGACAGCATGGTGAAGTAACTTATCAAAGTTACCTAACTAGTGAGCATAGGGCTGGAAAGGAGCTCAAATGGTCTGGCATTAGGGCCCACAACATTCTTTACTACTCTCTTTTGGCCTTGGTGACCAGAATCACCCCTCACCCCCAGGTTTAGTACATGATAGGCATTCAACTAAATTCAATTCTATCCCCATCCCTGGGCCTTGTAAAAGGACAGGGACAGTCAGGCCAGTGGTGTTCCTGCTCAGTGGTCAGCTGATATTAGCAGTACTTTATTTATTTGGTTCCCTTTCTCTCTCGGTCCTCCATGTGAATGCTGTGCGCTGTTCTGGAGCCCTGTCAGACACTTTGCTTTGTTCCTCTCTCCATCTTTTGGCTACCCCACTTGTCTCTTCAGCCAACTGGAGACTCTTACGGGCAGAGATCCTGTCTCTGCTGTCTGTCTGGAGGATCTTGTGAAGAACTGAATTGCCCATTATGGGGGTTCTACAAGGGCAGGAAATGGGCTTCTTGTTCACATTGGCAGCCCGGGCACAGGCTGTGCCTCCCAACCTCCATATACCTCTTTGTACCCAGGTCCTGGCTCAGGCCATGGTGGGCATAGATGGCAACGGGGAGAGATGCACACAGTGATAGTCATCCATGGGGGGAGATGATGCCTCTGGGAGTTTATAACTTGGCTCCTGAGAGGGGCTCAGTCTCAGACCTGCTGTCAAGGTCACTAGGAGACTAGACTGTAGGATATAGGTCACCCCCTTGGCAACAGAGCTGATTTATGGTGCCTTTGACAGCCTAATATCATCAAATTATCCCACACAATGGAGAGAGGTTGGGTCGCTGTTGGGCAGTCACCAAGGGACGCAGAGCCTGGGGCTATCCGTCTGCTCCTGTATCCCAGACCTTCTTTGAGTTTGTGGGGGGAGGCTGGCACAGACGGAGGGCACACCCAGGCATGGCACCTTCAGCTGGGAGTATAAATAGGCAGCCCTGGGGACAGCTTTGGTACCCAACAGCACTCCTGTGACCGCTGCCTGTGAACAGCAGACAGTGCCATGAGTTGCAGACAGTTCTCTTCATCCCTCTGGAGCCGCAGCAGCTGCGGGGGTGGCGGGGGCAGTGGAGGCAGCATGCGTTCTTCCTTCAGTTGCTTCAGCTCCTCAGAGCTGGTGGAGAAGGGGGCCGGTTCAGCTCTTCCAGTAGCTATGGCCCGGGAGGCTCTCGGACCTGTGGGAGGGAAGGTGGCAGCAGTTTTGGCTCCAGCTATGGTGGAGGAGCTGGAGGAGGCTTTAGTGCAGGGAGCTCTGGCAGTAGATTTGGTGGAGGTTCCAGGGGCTTTGGTGGTGGTGCCGGAGGAGGCTTTTGTGGGACCAGGGGTTCTGGAGGTAGCTATGGCAGGTCAGGAGGCTTTGGAGGTGGCTATGGGGGGTCTGGGGGCTTTGGAGGTGGCTATGGTGGGTCTGGGGGCTTTAGAGGTGGCTATGGTGGGTCTATGGGCTTTGGAGGTGGCTATGGTGGGTCTGGGGGCTTTGCAGGTGGCTATGGTGGAGGCAGTGATGGTGGCATTCTGAATACTGATGAAAAGGTCACTATGCAGAACCTCAATTCCCGGCTGGCCACCTACTTGGATAAGGTGCAGACACTAGAGGCAGCCAACACCTCACTGGAGAAGCAGATCCAGGAGTGGTATGACACAAAGGGGCCCAGGATCTTCCAAAAGAACTATTCTCCTTACTATGATACTATTGATGACCTCAAGAACCAGGTAGGTGTAGGAAACAAACTTGATCTCTCTCTTTCTTTCTCCCTTTCAGAAAGGTAAGATGCTAGACTCAATGCTTAGCCCATATCCAGGAAATTCATCTTTAAGCTTTCATCAGAAACAAACTTGTGTTCAGCTCCTGAAGGTCCCTAGAGCTTGGGCTTTAGCTTGTGCTCTAGGTTTTCACTTTGACCCCCTCCCTTTCAGTGTCTGGGTAGAGCAGAGAGGAGGCCTGGATTAACATGAGCAAAGCTGGGACTCAATGTGGAGCCTCTTTTTGGCCTGGTCTCAAGTCAGTTCTATCCCTCCTCTCCCACTTTCTTGGGCTCCTAGATTACTTCAGGTTCTTTGGACCCAGATACATGTTGGTTGTTCATGTGATGAAAAGGATTTCAAGCTGTGAGGATGGAACTCATTTATCCACTCATCCATGCATGCGTGCATCCATTCATCTGTCCATCCACATGTCTATTTGTTCATCCATTCAGTTCAGTGAGTGACTACCCTCAGTGTGGCTCTGGGCAGCCATAGTGATGTATCAGAATTAGCCTCTGCCCTCAAGGAGCTCTGGCTCTTTGTTGTCTCAGTAATTCCTCTTGCTTTTACAGCTTTGTGCTTCTGGATGTGGATGTGTTATTTCTTCAGGGCCCAATTCAATTGCTTTCCTTAAGTCTTTCTTGGTTTCCTTGAGCTCTTTTTGGATACTTTGGATTTTGTAGTTGATGGTGGGCTGCTTGTGGAACAGTCTTTCATTGATTTCTAAACCTTTATAGTATCTTTTGCAGTAGACCTTCAAATATTTGCTAAATGACTGAGTGAAGGTCACACTAAACATGTTTACCGAAGGCTGTGAGGGATCTGTACCATGTACCAGCTGTGGCAAGCTCCTTTTGCCTCTTGAAATACTTCCTGGATAGGATGGCTTTGTCTGTCCTCTCTCCCTCCCAGCAGTGGGCCATAACAAGGGAACATGATTTTCATGCTATCTTCTCTTTTTTCAGATTATGGACCTAACACGGCATGGCAATAAAACTCTCCTGGACATTGATAATACTCGTATGACAATGGATAACTTCAGGGTTAAGTGAGTCCTGCCCCTTTTCTCCCTCTCTTGTCATCAATTCTTCCTCCGTTCCCAGTGCCCAGAACCAGGTCCTGTTGGACTTGGTTCCCTCTTGATCATCCTCTACCCCTGGCGGATCTGCAGGTTTGAGATGGAGCAGACCCTGCTGCAAGGTGTGGATGCTGACATCAATGGCCTGCAGAAGGTGCTGGATGCTCTGAACATGGAGAATTCTGATCTGGAGATACAGTATGATGCTCTGAATGAGGAGCTGAAGGCCCTCAAGAGGAATCATCAAGAGGTAGGTCCCGCTGCTCTGGCTTATAAGATATAGGGAAGACAGAAGGGCAGAGATGTCAGGGGGAGCTATGGAGCATTGCCTGAGAGACCCTTCTCCTTCACTCTTGAAGAGGATACCCCCACCTCTCTTCAGCACTGCTTGTGGTGGTGGTTGGGCTTTCATATCACAAATGTATCCCTTTTTTGTACCCAAAGGGGACCAGTGGGTAAGGGCTGAAAAGTGGTAGGAAAGATTGCACCTTCCGACCTCATGTCTCCTTCTTATCCGGCAGGAGATGAATCAGCTGACTGGCCAGAATGATGGGGATGTCAGTGTGGAGATAAATGTTGCTCCTAGCAAAGATCTCACCCAGATCCTCAACGACATGCGGCAGGAGTATGAGCAGATCATTGCTAAGAATCATAAGGACATTGAGCAACAATATGAGTCCCAGGTGAGCAGAGTGAGCTGCTTGTGCTACCTTCTCTCTAGCTATGTATCCCTGCACTCCATTTCTCCCTTCTCCTATCCCTCATCCTTCCACCTCTCCACCTCTCACTGGGCCTCATCTACCCATCTTCCAGTGGATGTCATTCATCTTCATTTGCTGCAGTCACAATTGTAGAGTAGCTTCTCAGTGCCAGGTCTTAGGTGAAAGTGCTGGTATCTTAGAGATGAGCCAAATAAGATTGTTACCCTTAAGATGCTTATTATAATTTATAGTGTGTGTGAACAAAAACAGAGCATGGAAACTTATTGTCATGCTACATGATACAAGACTCTGTTAAAGGGATACAGTCTCCCATACTACACTGAACTCCTTGATTGCTCCCTTCCTCCCTGGGTCTCCCAAGCTTAGCGTAGTGCCTGGCACATAAAGGCTTGGGGTGTGTGTGTGTGTGTGTGTGTGTGTGTGT